GGGGGGGGGTAATTATAGCGAATGTTTAAAGTTGGAATGGTAGACTCTCATTGAGTCGAACTCTAATGAGTTATAGGCGTAGAACGTTAACTAGTGATAGCTAGTCATTACTTTATTCAAGGCAAACTCTTAGCCTTTATATACACTTTTCAGCTGTTATCTAATTCGCTAATTCTACCTAATATATATAACATATCTAATATATATAACTTATATAACAATGTGACATATCTAACAGATAGAACATATATAATGTATATAACAGATATAACCTATCTAACATATACAACATATCTGTCGAGTTTGACATATCCGGCAGATCTGACAGATCTGTTAGATCTGTTAGATCTGTTAGATCTTTTCCGACCCACCTCGATCTACTACGCCAAAAAAATTATTTCAAACCACAATTCACCCTTTCACAACGTACGTACGTACGTACGTAGATATGGTGATGCAAGCAAAATATTAATGGGACATTAGAAGAACAAGCAACTCAATGATCATCACATCGCGTAAAATCACGCTAGCATCATTTGTCTACTAACAAATCGGCCTAAATTATACTATTGCCTAAACCTAACACTAACCCTAATTTAGGCCGAGGTTTAATCATGGATGTGATTCACGAAGATATCACTGGGTTCATATCTTCAAACACCCATATTAACTTTACATGAAAAGAAAAGGTCAATTGTCTTTTGCAGCATCGTTAAATTATTTGATGAAAGTTAGTCATTTATGTCAACAACGAAAGTTCCATTAGGTATCATTAACACTTGTCTAATGGCGAGTCGATGGTGGTTCGATTTTCAGCCTGCCGGCCAAGCCGGTCAATCAAGGAATCGATTTTCTTTTAAACCATATTTCAGGCTAGAAATTGATAAAAATCGGTCAGTCATTTAAGATAATCAATGGTTGGTTAATTTAGATAATAAATGGCAAATAACGAATATGAGATATAATAGGGAAGGAATCGTTTTAATACATAGAAAATTAATCGACATAAAATACTAACATCCTAGAATTTTTCAAGGACAAAAAGAATAAAAACCAAATAATTTAATATTACTAGAATTTGGCAAGGAATTACCTGATGGCTTTTTACCCGTTTGATATAGATATAATGAATGACTCTGATTTGAAATTAGCACTATAGAACCTGATCTATAATTTTTTCATCGCCTCATATCGTTACCTCAAGCTATTTAGTTTTCTTCCACGTATGTTTTAGGACGTGTATTTAATCCTTTGTAATCTCAAAAGTGCTTATAAATTAATATGCATAATGTAACAAATATTATAATGCTTATTGTTTAAAGAAATGCATTTAATTCTTTGTCAATTGCAAAAGGTGTTTATAAATTAATAATGATATGTACGTATATGTAAATAATATTATAATGATTATTGCGAAGTAATAACAAAAATATTACAACAAAATATTTAGGTAAATAATCGCAAAAAATTGACAAAGATTTTCTTTATTGTTTTCGTGAAAAATTTTATTAATTTATTAAAATGCACTCATTAGAGAAAAGTGACATTTCTGTAGATCATTACAACTAAAGGCTTTGATGGCTTGAAAGACTTGTTGGCTGGAGGGCATTGAGAAATTGAGCCACTGAATAACAAAGTGAGTCATGTTTAAGCTTTTATAATCTTTTAAAGTTATTCTATCTAGATTATAACAAAGCTTTTTTCCTTTAAAAGGATGCCCTCGGAAACTTTATTAGACTATTTTATAGGTTTGTTTACATATTGTTCTGTACATACTTTTTGTAACTATATCTATTACACCACCCTCCTTTTCTATTTATTTTATTTATGTATTTATTCTATCCACATTGGGTTTTGTAAGAATTCTTTATCTTTTTGTTATAATAAATTGTGCTATTAGTTTTCTAATTTCTTTTAAGATTCTGTCTTGTACTCTCAAGAGAGCGCTGATTCCGATAAAGAATTCTTCCCCACTTCGACACACGTATCAGAACAAACTTCATAGACTATATCCATATCTGTCCAATAATATAATCTTTTTATTCTGTGGGGTTTTTTTGTTTTGATGGCAATTACTACCTCCTCAATCGTGTTTAGAAGAAATGTGCCCAATCATGCACATGTAAGCTGTTTCATATGTTCTTTTGCTGATAATATGAGCATTTCACTTTAATCCTAATAAAGCTCACTATTTAACTTTTGGTCTGGTGCAAATTTTAATTTGAAACATATAAAAAAACATATAAAACATATAATAAAATATTGTGATATAGAGGTAGCGATGTTAAATCATGATGTCAAGAGGTATTATGGTGTAACATAAATGACAGAATCGGGGTGTCATGATGGTCACGTAATATCGGCAAATCCTTTTGTGCTACATTCGCGGAAGTTCATTATTTTTTTTACTTTTTTTGATATTTTATTTAGAAGGTTCGTTATTTTTTTTACATTTTTTTGATATTTTATTTGGTTTGTTACTCTTATTTCAGCTCCTGCATATGCCCTCAATACCATTGAATCACTCACGTGTATATTATTCCGAACGAACTGGGAAATAAAGTCGTTCTCAAGCACTTTATTCAAAAACTCAATAGGGAATCTGATTGGTTAGTTTTATCACACAAACCAATCAAATTATTTATTAAGTATACTTGAGAATGCATGAAACGTAAAGGACCAAGAATTAGATTGTTTAAAAAAATATATAAAAGAAGCTGCAAAATCATAAAAAGCAGTTATTCCTTACCTCAAATATTCACTTATTAATAAAACATTCTATTAAAACCAAACCTTCAGCATATCGTTTAATCGGTTATATTCTCTTAATTATAATCATACTTAACTGCCAATTAAATTTTTATAAATATTCTCTTCTATAATTAAGTACGTAATAGATTGTGTGAAAATTTTAATATAAAATTTCTATAAGATAATATTGAATATAATTGGTTTAATATATTTTCTAGTAATAACGACCAATATTCAATATGACATTGCAGGCTGAATTGGTTCTTAAAAGCCATTATATTGTCGGAGGCGAAATGAGAAAGCGAAGCAGGTCAAGAAGCCAATCCAAGCACAACAAAAACCAAAACAACCACACAACCAAACTGAAGATAGAGGCGGTGATTTAGAT